AGTGTGTTGGAAAAAAAAAATTAAGAATTCTCACGTGAACGATGCAGCTGCAGATGTGCATGTGAGTTTCCCCAAATCCCTTGCTGTGTGAAAGATGAAAGAGCCTCAGAACACAGGCACACACCTGCACATGAAACAATACACTACATTCATCCTCATACTTCACTCTTTACTTTCTTAAAATGACTTCACTCTGCCCTCAAGACATAACTGTGTGCACTCACTGAAAGAGTCAGACACATGTGCAACCATTTAAAGCTTATAGGACATGGGCCAAAATATAACCTAGGCCTAATTGTGGCGGATGCATGCTGGCTAATATCCCCAGGTACACTGCGTGCAATTTAGGTTTTGTCAAAAGGTAGCAAAGGATTCAAAGGTGAATTATAGTTTTTAGGTTTTTTTCATTGGTTTGCTGTGGTCTTTGGGCTAAGCTGATGCAAAGAATTTATAGATTATTCTAATAATTCTTATTTAATTATTGAAAAAAGTGGTCTCATTGCAAAATGTGATACTATAACAACACTAAAATGTATTAATCTATACATTTGAATAATTTCTGTCCTGAGTTCAGTAATATTGTTCCATTTATTTAATGTAGGGTACATTTTGTATTTAATTATACATAATGCTGAATGTATAAAATGCTGTATGTAATGTAGTTGGTCCCGCAAAACTGTTTGTCAATCTTCATATTCATACATACAACATATCTACAACTGCATTCTTTTGTTATTGTATTGTAGTAGAAAATGTATACATTTATATCTGTTTCAAAGTAGATTTTTTTTCCCCCTATTGATGATTGATGCATGTTGGGAGAATTCATCCTACATGCTATCTGTTATATCATCCTGCATTCACCTTTGCATTGAGGAAGGATTTGTTTGGGTAATCCCCTTCACTCCACCTTGATGTCTTATCCTTCATATTGCTATTTTGGCATGTGTACTTGCTCTGCCTTATCTGTAGAACTGACACTTGCACATACACGGAGTCTGGACCAGGAAACATCAGTCTGCTTACTGGCACAGTTCAGGATCACGTTACGCCAATTTTTAGAGGAAGTGTACACATGCAGCGCACAGGCATGTCAACTTGTTATAGCCTAAATTACGTTTGGGCCATACTAATTTTAAACAAGGCGTTCTCATCAGTAGCCAGTTTACAATGCAGACAGGCTTATTTCCATCTGCTCAATGACATCAGCTGGCTATTTCGGGGCATTGTGGGAATGAAAGTCCATTTTGAACTCTCCATGCATTTGATACTGATAAACCGGACAGTGGCGGCAGCAAGATGGATCAGTCATATTATCTGCCTTGATGCAATTGGAGCACTGAAACAATCAAGCATTCTTTTCAACTGGGAACCGTTTCCAGAAGTGTGCCCTTGTGGTGGTAAGAACTAAGAGTAAAAGGACAGACATTAAAGACCTCCATGAATTTTTCCTCTCAGTTATATGGCAGTTTACCTTGTAAAATATGATAAAAGGCACATTACTATTTCCACATTAAAAAACATCATACAACAGATGTAGAAGCAAACGTAACTAGAATACAATTTCAAATACCCTGATTGTTGCTACTAATGTACCTCTAAGGTCTAATTTTACCATGACCTTTAGTTTGGAAATATATTTTACTAGCGTGCTTTACCCATTTGCTTAATTTCCACTTTTGCTAAAAAGCACATGCGCAATAATTAAACTTAGGAAATCTTCTCTTCCAGTAACTGTGAAGGTGCCTTGTGCTGAGCAACCACATCTAACACAATGAGGCTCGCAAAATAGCCATGGTGACGTTTGCAACATTTCTTTACTGTCTTCCTCAAAAGCATTCAAATTGACCGAATCACTCTTTCCCATCACACATTTCCAATATCTACTCTCACAAGTTAGCTCTAAGTGTCCACATAGCTGTTGCCACATTGTTTGAGCTACTAGATTTGGAAAGAATGGATTTTGAGCTAGCCAGAATGACTTCACAGTTGCCTTAATTGTGTCATATGACCAAATTGTTGGTAAGTGACCCACGTGCTCTTCCAGTCTTTGACATATCAAAAAAACTGACATTTCCATTATTGTCTCATTTGTTTTTATGCCAGGAACGCAAAACCAGGCTATATAAAAAGAAAGCACATTCAGGAAATTCTTAATCAAATCAACAACTTTGTCTCTCATTCCCATCCTTGTCTCCCCTTGAGGACACTCAATACAAACCAATAAGGCTAATGTATTGGACCCATGCCTTTGTAACACTGGCAATGACTGACTGTTTTAGAAAATGATAGATTGTCAACACAAACAATAAACTTTATATTGAAGAAACACAAACGCCCTTTTATTATTGTATTTTAATGTCATGCCGGTATTGACAGTTTGGAAAAGTCACATGATTGTGGGTGTGTCCTCTCATTTTAGACCTTCCCAGAAGACAGCTGTGGTGACGAGACTTGGACAGAAATACGTTAGAAATGTGGGGAGGAGCATTAGAGTCACGAGCGGGATTCCTGCCAACTTTGACACGTTCATGCTTTAGCCAGAAGGACAAAGTACGTAAAAGGACACAACTGTTTGATCTCAGTGTATCGTTATTGTACTACGTCAGGGCAAAGGTTGTGTTTGTTTTGGTTGCCGTAATTTTCTCTCTGTTAGTATACAGTGCAACAAGTCTTATATATATATATATATATATAGATATATAATTATAGGTTACATAATTGTCATTAACCTGACAAACCATCTCACAATAGAAAAAACTCTGACCAGTAACTTGGTCTGACAGCATCAACCACTTGTTCCATGGGGGAGGACAAGTTTAATGTCATCCTGTGGAACCTTCCAGCTAAAATAATAATATCTCCAAGGAGACAATCGGCTCAATTCCCCAAAACATTTTTTTTTTTTTTTTCTGTTTTTCTGATTCTATCTTTCTAATTTCAAGATAGTGTGTTTAAAACACAATAGTACAAATAGTAGTATGTCCTGGTTTAACCTGTCATTTCTTGTTTTGATAATAGATCAGTACATTAAAAGTCAGCAGACAGGTAAGGGTGCCGCCTTCTGAGGAAAAGGTAAGTGTTGTTCTTCCTTAAAGCAGTTGCGCAATCCTATCTCGAATGTAGTACAACATGTGCCCTGGCAGCGTCTCACTCCAGTGGAAATATGTAAATGCAAACAACAAGAACAACTAAAAAGGCAGAAGCACACTACTACCAGGAAACTATTACTCTGCCATAGGCAATGACAACAGTGCAACAAATGAGGAAGTTGAGCAAACACAGTGAATGACAAAGCTCTCAGTCACTAAATGATATTCGTAAGAGTGAAGAATAGTCAATTCTAGCAGGAACTTGGTTTACTGTAACTTCTGTAATAAGAAACTCATGATAAGAAACTCATGTTTCCTTTTGTCTGTTCAAAAGAAATTCACTATATCTTATAATAAATCATACATAATAATCAGTAAAATCTTGATGTTGTTCAGTCATTAAGCTGATGTCTCTTTTGTCACCCAGTGTAAAAATATTTAATACAACTTTAAGAACTTAAACACTGAATCTTTCCCAAATGAATATTTCATTAACCAAGACCATTTTATTGTGTATCGCTTAAAGGCTGCCTTGTGATTTTCAGAGAGTAAAGAGTTTATTTGTGAGTCAGTGTGGGGCAGGGTTAACAGCTGGCGTTTCTTGTTTAGACTAACAAACCATCAACTGCATATACACATGTGGAATCACTCCATTTTTCCATTTCAAGAAATAGATGCTCTTGTTTAGACTTAACAGTCTTAACAGTCTTAACCCTTGTCCCGTCTTAGGGGTTATCTGCCCGGGAAATGATGGTGCTTGTGTGAAATATCCTACTCAGCTTTAATAATGTGGATAGTGGTTTATTGGAGAAGAACTCCCGTAAAACAAAAAACGAGAGGTGCTCTACCTGCTGGCTCATTCCCTTCACTGACTCTAATCTGAAGCCCATGAGAGCATTCAGATGTTGAGTAGATGCCTCATGTGATGACACAATGAATTTTCTGGGAACAATTTCTGGGATTGTTACGAGGTTTTGCTAGCAGAGATAGCCCTCCCCCCATATCTTTATCTTCCTGGTGGTCTGAATCAGCCAACACCTGAGTCACCTCTGTGGACACAGCTGGCATTTACCAAAACCCATCAAGGGTTCTGGCGTCAAACTGAAATCCTCCCTCCCTTCCTCTGCCCTCGAAGGCTCAGATAAACTTTAACTAACAAGTGAAATTTGAGTCTCAAAGTGATGGCACATAAGAAGAACAGTATAGTGTGATTTCGCCTGTCTGACTGTTGGTTAAATAAGGCGTATTCTTAAGAGGAATGGATGACCTAACATGACTCCACATTGTCTGCCCCAGTCTTAGACTCGCAGCTAAAGACCTGAGTCAGCCCCATGCAGTGTGAGCAGCACACCCGTCACACTAGTGTGTTACCAAAGACTAGACTTTACCAGGATCTGATGTCACTTTTAAACATAGGATAAGCTACTATGGATTTATGGGTAGGCCTGCCTTTTTAACTCTGTAGCCTACTCTTTTCTTATTAAAATTGGAAACTGAGAGAAATTATAAGAAGAATTTACCTTTGTGATGCCACTGACATGTGAACAAATATATTTTATTGATCAATGCATCACATGCTGCTTTGATGTGTAAAGTCATTTTTGAACAAAGAATGAGGTATACCAAACTAGTTTACTAAAGTAATAGCCCTGGTTGGTTTCAGAAAAAGTTGTGGCGCCCACTATATGTGGCAGCAGGCAATTATACTCTTGTTGATCAACCATGAATTTCTTTAGAAACCTTTAACACCTCTTCCACTGAAGCATGGCTTCAAACGCAAATGTCATCATCATAAAACATGATGATTGCGCACAAGAAAAGGCTATTCTAACATATTCAAAGTTATGCAGTAGTATACACAAAACATGCTTCTTTGCTATTGCCAAATAAAAATAGTTGCTGGAATTTACTTTTCTCACTAGGGGAGGGACTCTGCAAGAATCCAGAAAATAAATACACTCTTCCTGTCAGCTTGCCAGTTACCGGCAGCAAGAGGCGGAGTCTCTGAGCACATAAGAGCTTGGGCCGCTCAGTGCTCCTCGGCAAAGCAAGCTCTAACAAACCGAGGCAAGGGAACTACCCGAAAGACTATTAAAACAAGCCGAAGACATTTTACACAACTGACACAAGTAAACTGCCATAGGCCTGTATCCGACGTTACGATATTTGGATATCACACAAAGGAGCGACTTTGAACAAACGAGCAACTTTGGACAGGTGAGAAGCAGTTTTTTTCTTTATTTACTTCAAACACTAGTTTGCAGCAGTTACTGTATGGCAGCATAAGACGTAAAGGCGCTATAAATGCTAGGCTATAATGTTGTTTCTGATTTGTTTCTGATACTGCCATGGTGTTGAATGGCATGCATGTTGCGCAACCGGGATTACGCTGTTCTTACTGGAACTGACCGTGGTGCCTGCGTCCCGAGGGCAAATTACACACAAGTAAAAGTTTCCGGGAAATGCGCTCATAAATTAAACAGGGGTTATATGGTTCACATTAGGCTTAGTGGAACGGAGACTCAAAATGACTTGAAATAAATTGTTATATTTGTGAGTCACCTAAGACCAGCAGATTGTAAAGAAGTTTTCCTGCAAAGTAAATCTAAATTATACTTGGTACATCACCCTAGCGTCTGTATGGCAAAAGTCTTTTAAAGTTTTATTTCTGTGATGTTTCACTGACATCTCTCCTCTCTTATTCACAGGTGTCTTATTCACAGACCTCCTGTCCTCCTTGCCCTCTGTGACCTCTTGGAGACCTTTATTTGACCTACCTTCATCTGTCTACGTGGTGCCCTGTGTGCCCCCCACAGGCTGTTACAGAGTGGGACGCAGCGCCATGGTAACTCACAGCAAGTTTGTCTCCGTCATGAGCAGCCGCCCCTTGGACTCGACAAGCATGAGGCTGCACCAGCGCTACAAGACTTTTAGCTCCAAGGCTCAGTACCAGATGGTCCTCTCCACTTTGCACAAACTCCAGGAGAGTGGCTTCTACTGGGGAGCAATAAGTGGCAAGGAAGCCAATGCCATGCTGTCTTCTGAGTCCACGGGTACTTTCTTGGTTCGGGACAGTTCTGATAACCGGCACCTCTTCACTTTGAGTGTCAAAACTGCATCTGGCACCAAGAACCTGCGCATACAGAGTGATGCTACATCTTTCTTCCTACAAACGGACCCTAAAAATGTCCAGTCAGTACCTCATTTTGACTGTATCCTCAAACTTGTTCACTACTATATGTCACAAAGCAAGCGTGGTGGGACCATGTACTACATTTACTCTGGAGGTGAGAAGATCCCCTTAGAGCTGGTGAAACCACTGTCATGTAGCTTGTCCACATTGCAGCATCTGTGTAGAAAAACTGTCAACGGGCATCTGGACATTTCTTCCAAAAGAGACCAGCTGCCTCACCCACTCAAAGATTTCCTGCAAGAATATGATGCACCTATCTAGATTAATGGGACTCATTGAAAGAACTTAACTGGGAATTAAAAAAATAAAAGGCTGGTTCCAAGGAATGGAAAATACAGCCTTAAGAGATTGGGCTTTCCAAAGAAATGTTCCTCCATGTTTGGGAAGTGGATCGAAAGAGCAACTCCCCACAGAGGCGCTATGTGGAGTGAGAGAGAAACCCAGCAATGACGTATAAGTTACAGTCAGCTGTCGCAGTGACACAGAGCTTCCCTCTTCTGCTGCTAGCAATTTAGACTGTACCAGTGAAGCCACCCACACAAGAAGACAATCTAATGATAGACTGAATCACATTTGGTTGATGTGTGTGACCGTAAATATGACTCCTGTTACCTAGTGTCTTGTGGGAATGGACACTAGTCCTTTTGTGCCAAATTAACATGAAAAGGGCTGATTTTTGTTGTTAAGTGTTGAAATGTACTTATAAATGTAGAGGTGTATGCCAAATATCCCTGAACACTTTGGGGTTATAACATATTTGGATCTTATTTGTTTATGATCCACCCAAAACCAGAGGAAATACACCACAATAGCACAGACAAGATTCCTCATTGGGAATAATTGAATGTATTAGTCAGTGTTTCTCCTTGTGTGGAGATGAAATAACACATGTTAGTTTTATTTTATTTTTTTCTACAAGCAATGTTTACATGAAGGGAGGCTTAATTCTGATGAATCTGACTGTCTTTTATAAAGATACACTTATCCAGCTAGTGGCTGTGAATGCTTGAAGATATTTTAAAAGTTTGACAAAGCAGTGAGACTGATACAACTTTGCACTTATTTATATTTTACATTTCCATAATTTATAATAAAACTACTATTTTTTATACTAAATCTCTTGTTTTCCCTTGTCTTATATCTATGACAAAACACTTCGTAAGAATCATCGGCCTGTTTTGGTGAGCTTATTTAAATGTCTCATGAGATATTAGACTTTGTGGCTTTATTACCCAACATGCTCACACATGCATGTGTACAGAAATTTTGTAGAAATTCTCAGAAAGTCCCACACCCAATACAGCACAAAGAAGTGCAGTCAGTACATGCCCTTTATTCCAGAGAATGAAAGAAGCATGTCATCATGACTGTTTGCATTATGTATGTACAAAAACATTACACAAAGTTCTGTCTGTAACATAAGAACGGTTTATCAGTGTCAGTCTGTGCCGGAGTTATTTTATTTTTAGAAATGGATATCCCGTACTCCATCAGCCTGTTTCCTCAGTAAGATCAGGCTTATTTATTCATGTGTGTATATATATGTAAATAAATGAAGCTATAAAGTCCTCAAATCATGCATTACATCAGCTACCATTAAGAAAAGCAACATTGATTATTTGATAAATGGTGTAAGCCAAATACCCCTTAAACCTTTATCAGTATATACTATTTAAACAAGTGTGGTAACCTAAGGGGAGGAGATACTGATCTGTTTATAACTTGGCACATTCTGTCTGCCTATACATAAGAAAATACTTAAGTACACCACAATAGCAGCGAATTTCATCTAAACACTGTGACACTCTTCTGGAGAAATTCTCTTGTAGTGTGTCATGTGATTCTTAGGAACTGCCTTTGCCCTGTGAGTGCGGCACTGACAAATACACACCTCATATCACCCATCTGTGTGACCTGTGACCTGTGAAAGATACCAGCTTTTTCTACAGAAGAACATTACTGTTACTATGGTACTTCTTTTTACCACTAACACAACTACTTTTATTACTACTACCACTACTAGTACTACTAGTAGATGATGAATCCTTACTACAGCTACTTTTACTACTACATCCTTTGACTACTAACACAACTACTACTAATACTTGTTTTACTACTACCACTACTACTTTTACTCATACTACTTACTTACTGACACTTGAACAGCACCAAGACTGACTACATCTGAGAAATATCCTTATATTCTGCCAACCTAACACAAAGCATTACATTAATCCTTACTACTACTACTACTACTACTACTACTACTACTACTACTACTACTACTACTTCTTACTACATTCTACTTTTATGTTTTGTTTTTGTTTTTTTTGACTACTAACACTACTACTTATTTACTTTTACTACTTCTACATTCTTGATACTTGTTAAAACAGCTCCAAGAAGATTATATCTGAGAAATAGAGCTAGTGTATTTAACCGTCTAAAACCATAAATCTTTTGGATGGCTTCAGATGTTAATTTGAATACTGGTTTATATTTTTATTTGTTTTATTTGTTTTTTTAATTTAATTTGTCATTAAGTGACAACATGCTAATGTTTTATTTAGTTAGTTCTGCATATGATGATGATTATACTATTTTAGTAGAATGTGTTATATTTTTATATATTTTGTGATGATATCTGGCAGCCCATCACCTCACTTGCTCCCCTTCACAGTGCACATGTATGCTTCAATAGGATGCCTGTCCCTTCAAGGTTCCTCAGTGCATGTGGAGAGCCCAATTCCCGCTCTAGTTGCTTAGCCTGTTTACAATTCCACAACTGCTGGTCGCCATGGAGCTGTCGTCAATGAGCCCCAGATGCCAGATATGGGATCCAACCCAGGAGTGAGTTGTGAGTCATTTAAGGGCTGCTAGCTCCGCCCCTTCCCTCAGCCTGTTCTCCGGGCACGCTCCTCCTGCTCCACCGCTCATTTACTGTCAGGACTCTCCCCGCCACTTCTCTGCACTGTTGCATATCTGCACATTGGGCCTCATGATTCCTGCTGGCTTAAGGGAATCTATAATTGTAAATAGTGAAGGGAATGAAAGGGCACAAAATAACAATGCATTGGCCTGTGTTGACATGCAGTTAAAAATCAACTGGACATTTGTTGAAATAACCCCCGCTTTCTGCATATTTGACATATTTCAGATTTCACAATGGACACTGGACAAAAGCAGTGTGTGTATTGTGCAAGACAAATAAGACTGTGAGGGTTGTGAAAAACATGCCAATGAAGAAGTGACCATCATATCCTGTGTTTGGCTCTTTATATTTTTGAAAGAGCAGAGCACATATGAGTAAGAGGCAGAATAACTCTTCAAAATCTTTAAATTTCTTCACTGAAATATTCCTCAAGTCATGTCTGATATTATTATTATTATTATTTTTGTGTAATATATTATCTTATATTACACAGGGAGGCATAACATTTATCAGAAATGTTTTATCTTGTCAAGGGGATTCTGTGGCTAATTTCAGCATGCATGCAACTCTAAAAATAAACTCCCTAAATCTATTGGGATATGTCTTTTAGTTTCACTTGCTAGTTAAGGTGAACACCTTACATTCAAATGTTGATCATGTGTTAGCAAAATCAGCTGTAGAAAAATCCTCCTCCTGCCTCAGTACATTCTGGGAAATGACGTGTGACTCATTGTCAGAGTGGCTGAAAAGCCAATGACGTCACTATGTTACAAAAAAAGATTCTTGAATTCACTATCCAAACAAACCCATTGGTTTAGAGGTTGCATAACGCAGAAGAGAACGAATGGAAAATATGTGTCAACTATATCAAACTGTTGCTATGTACAACTCCTGGTAGCTAGGTCTGACTTCCTGATTCATGTGAACATACAAGACATACTGTTAACTTACATTACTGTCAGAGGAGCGGTACTGCCATTATTCATAGTTTGTTATGACAGGAGAGGTGTTCAGTGTTTCATCAATAACTAAAAATAGTTTTTACAGATAATTTGCTAATTCTCTTCTCCACATGCTGTATATTCCTGGCTCATTGTGGTTATAGACACTCACTTATGTGTTATCTTTGTTAAGTTATTGAGACTGCCTTACCCAAATGAACTAAATCCCCCAATACAAGAAATTCTCTTTGGTGATGGCAATGAATTATCCATCTACTGCTGCTTAAAAAAACAAACAAAAAATGCAAAACAATTACTATAGTCTTTCACAGTAAAATAGTACTTAGATCAACTCAATGACTCTGAGATGAAATATTCAAGTGCACTACAAGTTGATTTTGTGTACAGATAATGTTCAGTAACCTTACAATAATCTAATTTGTCTAATTTGCTTTAGCAGTCCTTTTCTACTAAACTCATACTATTCCTTTGTTCATGGGCTGTGCCTGTTTTATACTGAATGCCGCAGCTGGCTGAAGCCAAACCACACTTCCACAGAAACAATTCAGAATTTCCAGTGAAACTCTTCACAAAGAGTTGATTTAGCATGGCGTGTTATGATGTGATATTTCAACAAGCACTCCCCAGGCTCAAACCAAGTCAACCCAGCTAAAGGTCATATAATAAAGTCAATGGAGGAACAGATACAACGAGTAAAATATCTCTAAACATTCTACTTCAGTTTGTGAGAACAATTGAACAAATCATTTTTTTCTTCTTTTTTTGTGAATAAATATATTTATGATTGTAGTTATGAATTATATTATATTATATAGCATAAGTAGCAAAAGTAAAATAAATAATAAGAGGCAAATGCATGCACACACACACACACGCACACAGGCAGTACTTCTATTCTAGATTATGCATTGTAAGGTATTTTCACACATAAAATATTACAATATAGACAAATGACAGTAAGAATGGGTCATAGTTTTATATGGGTATATGAATTTCAATTTACAATGGTAGAAAAGTGAGAAACTTCTTGTGACTCAAGCATTGGACTCTATCTCATAATCTAAGGGACTTTTGTATTTTATATTTTTTCTTATCCCACCCACACTAGCAACTAGCACAAACAAACAACAAAACCCATTTCCTGAATAAATGATCTGGAAAACCACATAAATCTAACAAAGGTCAAAGAAAAAACAAGTTTTTCTTTGGGTGTGTGAACCAGTACCTTGCAAGTCATCTTTTTCCTGATTGCAATAATCATACAAATATGAATTAAGTGCTTTAATCAGTTTCCTGGCAGAACACATTACTGGTGAAGAGAGTTCCTGTACTGTATCTTATGCAGTGTTGGGGAGTAACGGATTACATGTACCGCCGTTACGTAATCAGAGTACAAATTATGAGTAACTGTATTCCGTTACAGTTACTGCTTCAATGAGTGGTAATTGGATTACAGTTACTTTGCTGAAATAAGTGGATTACAAGGCGGTATTTTCCTGTTTTCACATTTTGTGCTACATCCCATTTATTTATTTTTTTATTTCGGTAATTCCACTCATTGCCGGAAGCCCAAACAGAACGCGCGCAATAAGAGCGATGGAAACGTCATGTTAAAGTTGGCGGTGTCAGTCACACAGTGGAAGCAGCAGTGCATTGGTAAAAACGCATTTGTGTCTTGGAAATTCTTCTCCCGATGTGAGATATATATATAAAAAAAACAAAAACAAATATAAAATCGCCTACAACTTAAATGTGAAACAGGAGCTACTGGCACTGGTGAAAACAACCTGCATAGACTCATAATATCTGCACTAGTGTCATATACACAAACACACACACAAACACACACCTTCATCATCGTCATCAACCTGAGAACCCGCGGACCACGTCTCCTTCCATAGTTACAGCGCGAACACCGCCGTCTCGTGCGCCGCGTGTGGACCGTGTTTTCTCGCATAAACCGCGCTTCCTCCTGTGCGCCTCTAAACCAGAACTAACACCAGGACTAAACCAGAACTAATCCAGGACTAAACCAGGACTAATCCAGGACTAAAGCAGGACTGAACCAGGTTTAAACTAGGACTAAACCACGACTAAACCAGAACTAAAGACCTGATCTAGACCTGGTCTAGACCTGGTCTAAAATCAGGAGTAAACCAGGTCTAAAAATCAGGACTAAACCAGGACTAAACCAGGTCTACACAACATGACACCTAACAGTA